TCAAATCTCTTTACATGTACCTGTCTCTTGGACAGTGTATTTCAAGTAAAGGTACTTAGTGCTGGGGACAGGTTCCCTAATGGGACAACTAAGTTTTCATGCATGTGGCCACTGAACTAACACCTCTCTTTTTAGTTAATTTTTTTCCCCTCAGTTTTGAACGTAATGTTGTACACATTAAGTGAAGGTTTTTAACACCTTCATGAAGGAGTTTGGATTAAAAGCTCTGATTTTACATGGTTAGTCACCCTTTGCAGCAACATCACTGGAGTGAAAAGATTAAAAGGCACTTACAGATAATTTACCCACCTTGTGAATAACCCCTAAGCTTGCTGTTGCTGTGAATTTTGCCCAGTTAGTTGCCCTTCCGAGCCATTCTAGGTTATTTCTATTTGTGTATAGAAAAGGAAAAAAATCACCTCAACTATTCATTTCCTTGGTACGAAACAAGAAATCCATAAATAAATCAAAAATAAGGTAGAGAAAATGAATTTTACACACAAAGTTTAAAATATATGAAATTCACTTCAAAGCATACCTAAGAAAAGTGTCACTTGTTGTTCCACAATGCATATAGGAATTTGCTATTACAGTGGCTGTGTGCCAAACTGAATTTCTAGAGGCATCCTGTACAAAGAAATGCAAAAGAAAGTGAAAATAAGACGCATGAAATTCAAGCTCTGGGTTGGACTGAGGGCCAATACTTTTGGAAACAAATTATGTAGGATTTACACATAGGCCTAAGATAAGGTCACTCCTTTTCTCCCCTCTCTCTCCAAAATAAACATACTGATAACTGAATAAAACAAGGAAAATAGAAAATACACAGACACATGCATGTACAGTGCCTTTAATAACTCTGATTGGTGATTTATGTCAGCATCAAAATATTAAAATACCTGCATTTTGCATTGTATTGAAATCCAGAGTGGACAATGCTTTCTCTCATCGACCAAAATGTGCATGCATAGCAGCCACCAAAAGCTTATGGATGCAGAAATCATCTGACCGTAAGTCCAGTGGAGCCCAAATTTTTCAACTGGACTGTAAAAATTAATATTCTTTAAAATTAATTTGCTCTAGCTGCTTGGCTTTCGGGTGCAAATGAGAGTTTGACACTGATTTTTATATTACAGTTTAAAGGCATTCTGAGCCACAACAACTAAATGTACTGTACGTGTTGAAGATTTTTCTAGCAAAAAAAAATAACTCTATGATTAATCAATAAAAAGACAAGTACTTGTACCTTTGTGTTTTTTAGAATAAGTAGATCGGCATGATTGTTTCTGATAAGAAACTCCACATGAAGAGCTATGGATGTCTCACCACCCAAGATTGCCACCAGCTTGTCCACTTTGTCAACAAGTTTTTTATCACTTTCACTCTATCATGCATTGAAAAAATAATAATAACATTTCTTATTAGATTTTAAAGAACCTACTTGTCAGTCTCATGTATTTGCAGGAGTAATTTACACCACAATTATCTAGGGTTTTTTGTGAGGGGGGGGGTTTATTAATTTTTTTTCAGGACTGCATTCAGCTTGTAATGTTAGTTTCACTCACCAAGACGGAGTCTGTTTTTGGCTTCTTAGCAGGAACTTCCCTCTCTCCTTCATCGGTGTCCATAGCTGAATCACTAGAAATGATATCAAAAGATAATGTCAGTCATTATCACTAGTACCAAGTCTAGTTGCAGATAATATCTTATTGATCAGGATGGATTAAAAGAAACTTTATTATTGCTGTTATGCCCAGAATTTTTTAGTAAATAATTTTTGTCTAAGTGACGAAGCTTTGTCTTCACAATAAGAAACACAAATTCAAATAAGTATCAATTTTTGAAATGATTACAGAATAATTATAGCAAAGGTCAGCTATTGTGAATGATCAAGATCGGATTTTCAATTCTCCCCTCTAACTGCCACACACCTTGTATCTTAGTTACAAGAATTTTGGCATAAGATCAAGATAACAACTTTTACCTGATAAGTTTAAGTATTCTCATTACCTGTTTGCTGGGTAATGCATAGATATTAAAGGGAGAAGTTACATGTGAATCACATCTGGGAGTTAAATAGTTGACTTTCCTGGGTTTTTTTGTAATCACTCACCCTGATTTCTCTGTACTGCCATTCTTATCAGCTTTACCCTCAGTGGATCCATCAGAGTTTGTTGCTGCAGTACTGGACACAAAAGGTACAGTGGCTTGTAGTGCAGATGTTACAGATGACAGGAACTGCTGGGTGGCTCCTTCATACAGATCAAAGGCAATTTGGTAGGCCATCAAGGTTTGATCTTTCTGTTAATTTGAAGAAACAGCCTTCGTTACAATGAAGCTTACAGATTGGCAGATATTAATCAATCAATCATCTTTATTTAACGAGGGTAACACTCGACAGTGCTTCAACTCAGTAACTAGTGGCCCTCAATGATATAGGATATAGGATACGGGGGCAGGTACTATACACACAACAGGAAATACAGGAAAACGGCTGGCAAAATAAGATAACCTTAACTGGTCGGCAACCATGGAAATCTCACCATGAGCCAATATTTTGCTAAAACTTACAACCTCTCACAGTAATGTTAGAGCCTCTTATAACAATAACTGACACCGACCTTGGGTTGGGGAGACTGAAATGGCAGCTACAAGACATCTCACAATAATTTGGATTTATCAACTGGGTTGATAATGTGAATTGGCCATTTAGATTGTTGGCCCTTGAGAGCAAATCAGATCCCCTCCCTTGCCCCTGATGTAGTACTTCCATTAATCAATTTGTAAACCAGTGCAGGTCATCTTTAGTTACCTCATTGTCTTTTATAAGTTTTTCCAGAATATCAGCCACTCCTTGAGCATCATCAAGAAATATGAAACACTAACAGATTAAAAATACATAAAACCAAAGTTACAATGTCAACAAAAAAATAAACTGAAACTTAATAAGCAAGGGCAACAATTTACATCATTGTTTACATGCAAAATGCATACTTGTGCAGTTGTTATCATTGTATACAAACCTGGCAAACACTAATAAAGTCTGGAGTTCCTAGATTCATGTACAGCTGTACCAAGACTCTAAGAACCTAAGAAAGGAAAGAAAAACTGTATTTAATCACATCTGAATGTAAAACATTAATTTGCTATGCCTTTGCTATTAAAAAAGGATGCATTGAAAATCAGAAAAATAACATTACGATGCAGGGCTCAAAATTGCGACCAATACAGTTGCATTTGTGACTTAATTTTTATGTTTGGAGATAAATTGTACCTAATTATTTATCTGCAATGTTGTGCACACAATGCCATTGCCTTGATCAGCCGCCATTGCAGCCATCTCTTACTCATATGCATTGCAGGCTCATATTAATTTTTGTTTGTTAAACTGCTGGATTTTTGCGACTAAAATTCGTGAACTTGTGACTATATTTGTGTATCAAGTCGCAAAATGGTGACTGAACTTTTCTTTTAATTTCGAGCCCTGTCACTCTCAGAAGTGATTAACATGTAACTTCTCCCTATAATATCCATATGCTAACCGGCAAACTGATGACGAGAATACTCAAATTGATCAGGTAGAAATTTTTATCATGATCTAAAAGCAATTCTTGTAACTAATTTCCAAGGAAATGTGCAGCAGCTAGATGGGAGAAATAACAATCAGAACTTGGGAGAAAAGCATGAGCAACTGAGGTAGTAGGAGTTAACTGTGACAATTTATAGCATTTTCAAATTCAAATCTACACATGCAAACTATGCAAATAAAGTTGCCTTACCTTATTCCTAAACTGTCTGCTTTGTATTAAAGACATACAGACTGTTAGGCTGTAGGACAACATCCCAGGCACATCATCCTGAACAAAGGATTAAAGTTGTACAGTAAATTCAGTTAATTTCAAAACATTGACAACTTGGTTCTGGTTTTGAGATTCAAAATTTAATGTCAAGTGTTTTGACAAGAAACAACTCACTGATTTTAAAATTGCTTGTTCAAATATGTCCAGTCTTCTTGTTTCCAGGGCAATTCCAACAGCCTAAAAAAACAAGTTATATTTTATGTTGCATGATAACAAATCTTTAAGCCATTGAATTACATTTACAGCTGTTGTATGTACATGTATTATGCACAAACACACTCGTTCTTGTTGTTTGTATGAATACAATGAGACACCCAAAATATCAGCCCCCATCGTGTATTAGACCGTAAAACGAGATAAATCATATTTTTTGGTACTGTACTGTACTTGAGTTAAAGAGTTTACAATAGACAGTGGGTAATTCCTTTCCCAGGTGTGTCAACTACAGCACACGTAAAATCTTTATCTTCTCAAGTATATGTACAGGTGTAACACTCTATCCAATGCATGCACAAGCACAGGGAGACAGCTTAATAAACAATTATTCTTGTTTCACTCAGCAAAAGATCTGAGGATCCACAGCTGTAAGTGATTCAAAAGTTTTGGCTCTGTTGTCTGTAGCAAAAGCATCTCTGATCTGTGTCTATAAGCTGATAATATACATGCCATATCATTAGAATATTAACCTGTTTGTATTTTCCATCATCAAAACATCTTTTGAACATCCTGTCCACAATGGCTTCAAGTCTTGTATCTATGATAACATCTTCATCTGGGTTCTCTGCTTTATAAACCCTTTTCTCTGTGTACGAGTCAATGCATTTGGCTGCAAAGTAAAACACACTAATTTATCCATACTGTACATTTAACCAACAGTTACAGAGCTGAATAATGTCAAAGGTATGAAGTCAACAATGCAGACTCAAGTGTGCAAGGTTTAAAATTTAGCAAAATTTGCAAAAAAGGAGCTGGCATTTAAAACCAAGGTACTTTGTTGTCATTGAAGGCATTTTGCTATTTCCAAAGTTTTTAGGCTGAGAAAGTTAATTTTCAAAAGTATCTAGGGGATACATACAAAATTTTTAAAAGTTATTATAAGTTGTTCTGCAAGAGAAAAGTGGCAAGGAAAACAACACCTCGAGGCAACAGAATAGAAATCAACCAATCCAAATGACTCAAAATTCATGTTTCCATGCCGAAACCTAGTATGTGCATTTACATTATTCAGTTCTGTCCATTTAGGTAACCCTTTCACCCTATGAGTGACTGGCTTCTAATTTCTCCATACAGTAACACCCTTGAATCAAATGTAAAGGTCATGAGAATATAGAAAATGATCACCAATAATTATTTGAAAAGCTCCTGACTGTCAACAGAATTCTCTTTGCACAACAATGATGTAAACGATGATGGTCATTTTTAAGCCTAGTGTTTTCAATCATGAAAGACAAACTGATGTCATTCAGAGAATGGCACAAGCATACTGTACTTGGAAAAAAAAAAGAACTACATGTACAGGTCCCCTCAAAAGGAGTAGAGCCCATAACTTTCCATTTGGTACATCAGATGCTCTACCACAGAGCTGTACCTGTAGAGGAGACTTGTCGCAGTCTTATAAGGCCACTACATGACAACCTTCCTGTATACAGCTAGGATAGTGATGTCGATACACGTCTCCTTGTTAAGTATCAAGGAAAATGTAAAGAGAACAGCTCCAAGAAGATAAATGCTAACATCAGGGTCAGGGCTTGACACTAATGGTTGCCAACTAGCCACAGACTAGTAGAAATTCAGTTTTGGCTAGTGGTTTTCGATTTCCACTCACCAGTTTGGCTATTAAACAAAGTGAAATTGTCATAACATCTAAGTTGTCACTAGCCACTTGGCTAGTGTAGTAACATGAAGTCCTGTAAAGGCCGCTGACCGGCAAGAGGCAGAGAAGATCCCTGTCCAGAGGATTTATTAAAAGCTTGTGTTCTCACCGATCTGTGTAGTATTTGAGAATTTGTGTACCGAAGATAACGGCTAGTAAGTTAAAAAGTAAGTGTCAAGCCCTAAAGGTGAAAGGGGTTAACAACTTAAGTTCATTTGAAATAATTGATCATTAACATACACGGTGGAGCAGTTTTAAAAGCTAATGTTGAATTTGCACCATATAATTTCTTCATTCTTCTTTTGACCTAAAACCTACAGTGTAACTACAGTATGGCAAACGAAAATGACATTTGCACTACAAAAAACAAACTTTTTTAATGTTTAAAACCATACCGATGATAGTTTCCACATATTCTGAGTGACCATTCACATCAAACAAGTCTCCTGCTCCCAGCGCATATGCTAAGGAATCATCATAGGCACCAAGGTGGTAGTACACCTGAATAAGAACAAAAAGTAACTGATAAGGTTCAAAGACTAACACTGGTTCAAGTAGATCCTAGTTTTTCTGATGGATAAATAATGGTTTGAACTCCACATACAATGTGCATCTACTGTAGTTGCTTTCAAGTATTTCACATATAATTTAGATACTGTATTTAGTTGTCATTATCATGCACCTCGCAATAATTAACACTAATTATTCCCCAAAGTAGAGGTAAATATCAACCAATATCAAGAACAGTGAGGTGGATATTTGTTTTGGTATAAACCACCTACATGTACAAGTTGTAGAAACCAAAAAAAAAAAGCTTGTTTCTGACAATATCCTGAGAGATGCTCAGAAAGTGACCTCTTCAAGGCTTCACACTAACGGTAGCCGCAGACAAGTAGAAATTCAGTTATGGCTAGTGGTTTAGTTTTCAAGCCCACTAGCCATTTTGGCTAGTAAACAAATTGAAATTGTTGTAACATTTAATTACAGGGCATCTGACAGGATCAGGTGGTGCGGATCCATATAATTCGCCTACTACCGCATCCCTCGCAGCCTTGGGGCATTTTTCCACATAAAACTAGAAAATTTCTACATATACGGTAAGCGAGAAAGCAACTGCTTAACATCCTCAGAAGCAAAAATAGCAAAAAGATTGATCATTTTGAAGAAGTTATTCACCCAAAACAGCGACGAAGACACGAGTTTTGTTCGTAGACAATTTTAAACCGCCAGGTGTTCCATGCATCTTCTGTTGATGGGCCTGGGTTCTACTTTTGTTTTAACATTTTTGGGACTTCCGGTGTTCAGTTTTCCTCGTCCGATTTAATGGCTGGTTACTAAGCTTCAGACAAACTCAACAACGAAAACTATGAAAAAACTGCGTTGAACGAAGACATACCTGTCCACGAATGGCAGCAAAAGGTCAAACATGTCATAAAGGACAAAAATTCTTGTAAGACATTAACATGTAAGTACGTTGGAAAAAGCCAAGGGAACAACTTCATTAAGTTTTTAGAAATTTCTGCATAATCTGGCGTCTCGTCAGCATAATAATTGTCACTTTCTTCCACATAATATTGCCGAAAATTTCCGTATAACTTTCCTTTTTTTTCCACACCCTATCAGATGGTCTGTAATTAAATTGTCACTTGCCACTTGGCTAGTAAGTTGAAAAGTTAGTGTCAAACCCTGCTCTTGATCTGCAATTTACAGTAGTCTCTGGGGCTGCTTAGAGGAACAAGGCTGTATTCTTGCTAATCACTAACAAACTATCCAATCGCCAAGTATAAAAAGCACTCTTATCTGCGTGGACTCTATATTAATAATTCTTATCCTCTAACAGTGGCCTATCGCAGTTTATTTATCTCCTATCAGTAACACTGGCAGCCATGTTTTTGTTAGAATTAATTTAAATATATCAACAAAGTTGAAATGGTAAATTGGCCACCGTTACGGTTATAAAAGCTGACGTTTCGAGCGTAAGCCCTTCATCGGAGCGAATAGAGGAATTGCGGGTTGTGTGTGCTTTTAAAGGCAGAAAATGGAGCTACGTGATTGGTGGGAACATGGCAACGAGAAAAACATGTTCCCACCAATCACATAGCTCCATTTCTGTCTTTAAAAGCACACAGAACCCACAATTCCTCTATTCACTCCGACAAAGGGCTAACGTTCGAAACGTCAGCTTTTATAACCGTAACGGTGGCCAATTTACCATTTCAACTTTGTTCATATAATTTATTCAAATTATTTTGTTACCCCCACTCATGCAGCGCCAAACAGTTTCTTTGGAAACTATCAGCCTTTATTCATATGTTAGAATTAGTCTGTTTACCTTTGATGCAAGCAGGGCTGAAAGCTGTCTTTGCTTGAATGTTTCATCTTCATATAATACTTCACTGAACAACAGGAGTAAAAGAATTTGAATTAAAAAAAAAACAAACAAACAAACTATATATGCTGTAACAAGGATTAAACTTTTGTACAGTAAAAGGAGCAGATTTTTGTTTACCCAATTACAAAGGTAAAAAAAGGTACATTTTACATGTACAGTATGACCCTCCACACATAATTTAAGTTTAAATATACAATAATGTACAAAAATAAAGAGCTTATTTATTGTAAGAAAAACAGAAGCCTGTAAAAATACTCACATTTTCTCTACAGACTCAGAGATTTCTGCCCAGAATATATCAACAATGTGGTGAAGATTTTTAAGAGCAAAGACCTGTTCAAAAGGAAGATGAAGATATTGTAGAAAAATTCATTACCTGATGAGGGAATTCTGCATTCAGTTCCATATGAAAACCAACAATGCGATATCCGTTTTCAAGCCCAATTTAATGTTGAATTCACAAGTCAGATAAAGAATTTTCCTTGAATCACATAACTGAGAGAAATGCAAACTTAGTTCACTTAGCCTTGCTTTCGACTTGCAGTTTCATGCAAAATACCTTGCTATGTTAATCAGAATACAAGAATTCAATCACTTATGCAATTCTAGTGGCAAGTACATATATACATGTTGATTCTTATTGGTAAAGAGAGTGTGAAAACAACACTTACCTTTAAATCATATTCATTTTCATCAAGCAAAGCCAGCAGACCAGCTATTCAAGAAAACCAAACACATAAATACATATTTTCCTCAACCAAAAATCAAAAGCAGTCCAAAGACCTCCATAACCTTGTTTAATGAAACTTGCAAGGGAGCCCTGCTATCGCAGGTAAAAAGACAAGCACAAGCATTTTATGACAACTGGATGAGTTGACAGGAAAGCACAACTTTTTTTTAGTTTGGCTGACAGCTGTTACAGGGCTCAACACTAACTTTTCAACTTATTAGCCAAGTGGCTAGTGACATCTTAGATGTTACAACAATTTCAGTTTGTTTACTAGCCAACCTGGCTAGAGGAGATCAAGAACCACTGGCAAAAACTGAATTTCTACTAGTCTGTGGCTAGTGGGCTACCATTAGTGTTGAGCCCCATATTACAAAAACAAAATTGGTTTGTTCTTATGGAGTAGAAGCTTGAATAAGTGATTCAATTGGCCTTTCACTTCCAAAAGGTGGCCAGAAAGGAATTTCTACTTGAAACACTACGATGACGGGCTTCAGTAGAAGCCAATTACATTTACCTCAGTTACTCACTATCTCAGATACTTTATAATAAAAGAACTATCTGATGTTTCCCATGCTTATGTCTAACTGAAGATGAAAAAATTTAAAACAACCAGCTGAATCAGGAGGTAAAATAATTCGTACCAAATCAAAAAGTGTGTCATTTTTATTAGAAGATATCTAGTCTCACTTCTTTTTCTTTCCTTCTGGTCTATATTTTTACATTCATAAAGTTTAATTTCACTTGAGATCAATTAAATGTCATGTCACGAATCGACTGTGATCGGGCATAATAGTGTGTTCATGGTCAGTAGTTTCTAACCTCCTAACAAAACCGATTTCAGCAAATAGGTAACATTAGCATCATAAAAGTGAAGTAGAACGTCCTACATTTGTCAAACGAGAATTTTGACTAAAGTGCTCGGTAATCAATTTTGCTTAGTCACAAAACTGACGATCGACCGCGTGAAAATGCAATTCAAAGGTTGTCACTTTGAACCATCAAATATGACCACTTATAAAATAAACACATATCACAAACCTGCTGATGTCAGACTCATAATATCTGATTAAGATCTCTGTGTGTCGTCCACAAAACTTTCAAAGAATGACACTCTCCTTTCACATGGACACCTAAATTTCTTTCTCTTCTGCCTACTGCGGGTGGCTACGTAACCAAGCTCCCAAAGGGAGCCTGGCCCTCCCTTCCCATAATGCCTTGTAGAGCTTGTAAATAAACATGGCGGACTTACAGCTGATGCCGAAGATATTTTGAATATTCTGATGTGTGTTGTTTAGATACTTGTCGAACATCTGTCCTTAAGAAGTGATCGCGATGGCACATTGTGAAAGTTCTCTTCATCCGTTTACCGTTAGTTGTTCAGGGCAAAACACAGACTTATAGCTCATGGCAACGGACAAAGTGTTTACGACGCGAAATTTTGAGGGCGAAAGGCGTGTTATTCCGCTGCCGATTCAGACATACTTCTGGAGGCAAACAAGGTAAAGTGCAAATCTTCTTCGTGACATAAAGAAGTTGTATGTTGGGCGTTCGTTGAGGTAGAATGCTCGCACAAACGCCGAATTAAATTCTTGGCTCTTGTCCAAAGTTATTTCAGCACCAATTTCTGTGTCCCATGTTCTTTTTTTTCAAACTTAAAAATATAAATTTATTTGAAGCAAATGAACAGTAAGCTTCAAGAGGGTCTAAGGCTATTTTTCTTTTTATTGTTGTTATTTTCTGAGTGCTTTTTCGAGTGGTTGACTTTCAGCTTAAAAACTTAATCCTATTCGTCACGTTCAAACGTTTCGTACAATTATTATTTATACTGTACGCACCGTGGACATGGTAATAATTACAGCTGCAATAGTATGTTCCTGTTTCATTGCTCTCCGCCGTTTTGTGTTGATCTTCAGAGAACGGACATCGTAAAGATGACATTTAAGTGCTCTTTCGAAAAATTTTAGAATTTGAAGATCAATCGAATATCAGATTCTCCTAGTTTACTCGTGCATACATAATTATACGTGGTGCATTGTTTTCCAAATGAACGTGACTTTGCGTAAATTTCAGATTCCTCTTGCGTATTCAAAATATTTTATTAAATTAGGATTTAAGTGATGGACTAATTTTAGATTTGTGTTACGATTTGAAACAAACTAGATCTCTATTTCGTAAGTAGTACAATTGTACTGTATGTGGTCATTATATTTTTATGTAGGGATTTCTAGTGCACTGCATGCATACATTGGAGAAGTACTCTTTGCCTACTTGCACAGTTGTAAGTGAAAGTTTTAGGATTATCAAAGAAATGAAAAAAAAAAATAAAACATTAAAAAAAATCGATGGCTGATTTTCATAAAGGAATGTTGTCTTAGTTGAGATCAGTTTTGTACGCAATAATGTTAAAAGACTAACACACTGGGTATATTTGTGTGGACATGTACATGCATGTTAAGCTTTAGGAGTAGAATTATAGTGAAGTGAGATTTTAATTTATTAGATTTGCCGACAGGCAGGGACACCACAACAGCTCGCTCTAATTACAGCGGGCCCAGTAAACCCACCCATCCCACCCGAGGGGAGGACATCCATCACACAGTAATCTNCGAACGGATTATGAATATTCAAGAACGGATAGCTAGAGGCGTTCGAACGGATGATGAAGTTTCTTAAACGGATAGCTCGAATGGTTCGAACAGATGATGAATATTCAAGAATGGATAGCTTGAGGCGTTCAAACGGCATGCCAATCCAGTCGAACGGCCGATGAACGGCTGGTGAACGGCTATCCATTTAAAAACGGCTATCCATTTAAAAACAGCTATCCATTTAAAAATGGCTAACCGTTCAGAACGTTTTCCCGTGAGAGGTCACATTTCTTGATTTTATAGAAATTAAGGTAGCAAATTCTTCTCAATTATTTTAAGACCTTGAGTGTTGGTCTGGCCGGGGCTCAAACCCTTGACCTCCTGCGCAACAGTCCAGTGCACTATCCATTGGGCTAACTGGGCGGCGGTTTATCACCACGCCTCTTTTTCTGCAAAACTTCAATTACAGTAGACGTGTAGAATTTAGATCACAATGCTTGTTATCCTATTGGGAGGTCACTATATAATGGTCATTGAACTGAGTGCTGAAATCATATGTGTGATTTCAAAATCAATGGAGCACATATATGTAGGGTGAGGAAAATCACCAAATTCAGTTGCTCAGACACAACATTTGTTTTAGTCTGTCCAAATTTTAAATTGATCCAGTACTAAGATGGTTTGTAAAAAGTTGCAAAAATTGTGTGTCATTTTCCTGTTATTTGATTGGTTACTTGAAAGAAGCCTTGAAATTTGATTGGTTGTTGTGTTCTAGTACACAATTGTAGCTTTCTCAGTGGCTGGAAAAAGATGTGAATTAGAGCAAGAAATGGGGCAATCTGTGGATAAATTGCAAGGATGAGAGCCAATCAGATTGCAAGGATCACGAGTGATTTTAAAATGGATGTGATAAATTATTTATATTGGGTAGTGCATGTACATGTACATAGACATGTGTCTAGAGTGAATGTAGAGTTCAGAAGCTTGCTATAATTATAACCAGTAGTTTCCAATTGATGGAAACAATCTCTTTTTAGTTCTCTATTCTGCTGTATTAACTAAATGTGGAACTGCATTTAGTAGCTGTTAGATATTAAAAAAAAATTAACTGATGCTCTCACAAAATTTAATAATTATAATCACTTTTCTGAAATGTTTTTACTTTTTTTTTTTTTGCAGTCAACTACTAAAACCAAAACTTGTGAGAAGAAATTATGAATCAGCCTGTTTGGTATGAAATCACTCTTACATGTATTTTTAATTTTTTCTATTGAATTTAGAATTGTATGTAATTGTACCCCAGCAAAAAACTTTTGATGCTCCATGGCCAGTAGAGTAGGTCAGGGGGCCACAGTTGACTCACCTTTTTCTTGCAGTGACTTTGTACCTTGGCTTTTGTGGTGCAAAGCTTTAACTCTTTCACTCTAAAGATCTCATTCATAATTCTCGTTTCTGTCTTTTATACAACTCTTGTGATGTTAATTTGGAGAATTTAGTATTTGATCTACCAATTATCCCCTTATTGATATTTTCTTTATTCTCATCACTTGTCTGCTTGATACTATATTTGTGAAAGTGTAGTGTGATTGTCCGGGTGAGTGTTAAGTCCTGAGAAGGACTGTTGTCGGTGGTAGTGACTGACGTTTCGACAACCTGTGCAGAAGTCATCATCAGAGTCAAGTGAATAGTTGTTTTTAGTAGCTTGTTCTTTTATTTCAGTTTGTGTAAAATGATTGGTCAGTTTTACCGTGATGTTATTGGCTGTAAGACTCTAGTGGCGTAAGTCGGTTGTGATGGGTCTGTTTCCATCCATTGGTAAAGTTAGGTCGTTCTGTTCAGTTCGTTTGTAATGTTTATGTCGTGAATGAGTCGTTTGTATGGAGCCGGTAGTAGTTGTCACCTGTTTAGGGGAGTCTGTTCTAAGTTAGTAAACCAGTTTTGCAGAGTCAGTCATTGAAAGTAGTCAGACCTGTAGGTTAGGCATTGGGCAGAGTCCCAGTCAATGTTGTGGTTGGTAAGTCGATGGTGTTCAGCAATGTGATTGCTGACATCACCTTTCCTTGTCGCCTGTCTGTGTTCAGTCAGTCTTGCTGCGAGGTTTCTACCAGTCTCTCCGATGTAGGAGGCTTGGCAGTCGGAGCAATTGATCTCATAAATCACTTCCTGTCTGTTCCTCGGTTTGTCCTTGTCTTTAATGCTGGTTATAGTAACTGACGTAGTGTGGTGATGGGTTTGTGGGCAATGTGGATATTGAAGGGTTGTAAGATGCACGAGATGTTCTCAGACATGCCTTTTATGTACACTGTATGGTATGGTTGCTGAAGTCGTAGGAGTTTCGGTGTCATCTGTTTCGGTGGTGGTAGTGGGTCGGTGAGTGTTTCGTCGGATGAAGTCATCATTGTAGTTGCAGGGTGTCAAGCTCCTATTTTTTCCTATTTTTTCCTATTTTTTGGCTTGCCTCCTATTTTCTCCTATTTTTTCATGAAATTCCTAGTTTTTCCTACATTTTTAGGGTTTTACTAGGTACACAGAAACATTTTGAAATATTTGAAATAAAATTGCAAATAAAATTGATAAATTCTACAAAAAACTGAAACTTCATGTCAAAAAAGACCAGTTTGAAGCCTTTATGAGTGATTTTCTTCTGAAACTAGTGCCCAGACTTTCTCAGTGCTTTTGATAACATGCAAGGGATTCTGGGAGGTTCATTTGCATGTATGTGCATTTGCCATGTTGAAGTGGGGCTGCAATGCATTATGGATGTATGTCATGGTGCCTGTTAAATATTAAAACATTGGGTTGTGGAACAGAGTTTCTGTTGGGAGTGTTAAGAGGATAGAACTCAAAGAAATCCCACTATTTTTTTTCCTATTTTGGGGTGAGAATTCCTATTTATTTCCTATGTTTTAGTCACTGTCATTCCTATAATATTATTCCTATTTTCTAAGTGTCATTTGTCACTTGACACCCAGTAGTTGTTCACTGTAGTTGATACAGTGAGGAGAAATTCTGTCTTGGTCACTGCTGGGAGTGGAAGGGTTAAAGAGCTGGGCACCCAGAGGTCTGATATCAGAATCTTCAGTCACCCAATGACTCATCTACAAGCACTGCTTTGAGAAACAGTGCACAGCTGACGTACAGTAGTTTCACTGTAACTGTGGATGGCTATTGGTAACTGTTTAGCATTTAGCACAAGATTTTTTTTTTTTTTTTCAGAAGTTTGTTGATGTTTTGCATTGTGTAAATGGGGTTTTCAAGCCTTGTTCCTGATAGAGGACTTTATAATTTCTCTTGGTCTGGCTCTCTGAAAAGCAGCAGGGTTTACTTATAATTATGATGTGGTGACAGTAGACTCTTTGAATAATGAAAACTATCATGATAAAAAGTCAAAATAGATGTACTGTCCAAAAATCAAGATGCAACCACAGGTACAGTGTATGGTGTATTTTTTTCGATGATCAAAATTGAGAAAAAGAAGAGCAACATCTGAAATTAATGTTCCACATGATTAGATGAGGTTCACAAGTCTTGGTCCGAAAAAGGACATAAAAATTTTGCTTGGTTTGGCTATCTTAGTGCAACAGGGCTGAAACATGATGTGGTGAGAGTGAAGTCTTTAGATAATGAAAAATATCATGATAAAAAGTCAAGCTACATGTAATTTTCAAAAACCAAGGTGTATTTTGGCTGTAATTAAAATCGAGAAAAAGAAGAGCAACATTTGAAAAAAAGAAATTACTCTCTTCATTTGCATAATTGATTAACTAAGAGCAACAGTCGTCTTTTTGTAATAGCCTTTGACCTCCTTACTTTTCTCTTTCTTGTAGTCGTTTGAGAGGATTATTTGTGAAAACCGAATTCAAGATCTGCAGCCCAGTTTAGCCAGTGCTGTGAAGAGCATAAACAGATGGCACCTGATACAGTCATCAGTGCCTTACATTCTTCAGTGCTGCTCCTTGCTTCTTTCGAATAGGGGACGCTTGGGAAACATTGATAGACTTGGCAATGCAGAACGTGAACTCTTGTTCACTCTTCACTGGATTTTGTTGGAGGGACCTCGTGTTTGCTGTGTTGTGGACACTGATAGCTTACTATACCCTTTGACCACCATTGAGCAGTTTGTGCACGAACTCACACCTCATGTGTACCACATGCGAGAAAGTGACCTGACATTCAGACTAGAAAATGGGGTGGCCATTTGGGGACCCCTCTGGAGACACGAGCAGCCGTCGATAACACCATTTACTTGTGAAGTCATATCAAAAGATACCGACCCTGAACATGGGGGAAAAGGAGGTCAATCCAGTTCTGCAGATCAGAGCACAGCAGCTGATTCAATTTCAGACTTTTCCGCAGCTACCTTTTTTGATGTTGCAGTTTTGAAGTGCTTGTTGTCGACGGGGTGGGATGAAAATGGTGTCATGTGGGCTTTGCGTTATCTCACTGCTTACCTTAAGAAAGAATTCAACCTTCCTGATCAAGCAACAAGCAGAGGGACTTCAGAAGAGATCAGAGATCAAATACCAGTTCAAGGGTCTGTAGTATTAACTGTACCACCAGATGTTAGCGGCGAAGGAAGCGTGGTTCACGGTAATGACTGTGTAAAACCAGATGGGGCAGAAGGGCAGAAGGTAAACAAAGAAGGTAAGGCACGAAGTGGAGGATCGAGCAGCCAAAGTGCAGCCAACACGCCTGCAACGTGCGTATGTCAAATTGGAGATGTGACCAATAACATTACTTCTCAGGATCAACGATCAACTGTCACTAACGGTGTACAACTGACAGTTCCTCAAAAAAGTGAAACAACCAATCCTAGCATTGAATTACAGTCTGAAAACCTGAGCACTTTAAAGATTCCAGAAGGTTTTGACGAAGAAAGATCACCAGCCCAAGGGCTAGAACGCACAGGCTCCATCAGACTGAGGATAAGGGTGCAATCATCACCAGGGGGGACAGCAGGGGGGAGAGTGTTGACAGCTGTACCTTCGCCAACTGGGAGCATGACCCAGCAAGAGGCGAAGACCCTAGTTAGTGACGATTCTCAAGATGTCTGCGAGACTAGAACATTTCAGAATACCAAAGTTTACATTAAGCCGTCAAACACCCTTCAATTACCTGTTGTTGGTGCCGGAAATACCAATAAGCAAGACAGTGGCGATCCATTAGATGCTGGATGTCATGCAAGGGATCTTGAAAATGGAAATATGAATGATGTCGCCACCATTGGCTCTTCAGTTAGTTCTACAAAAGAAACAATTTTGCAAACCAATGTTGTAGAACCATCGTACAGCACCTCTTCAAACTACGATGCTCAACCTGATCCTTCTCGGATGTGTACAAGAATCAAGGAATCAAATAATCATCATGTATCTTTTGAGAGCATGGTTTCTTATGAATGTGAAGTCCAGGAATTCCATGGTGGAATGGTCCAAACTGACGAGGTGACAAAACGCGAGCAGCTGAAGGATGCTGCAATTTTCAAGCGTCTCTCAGAGCATACAAACTCAAGTCACGCAAGCAGCAGTTCAGTTGAAAGCGAAATACAGCCTTTGCTTAAACCTCCCACCATGGTGACAACAAACAGAAAAGCCTTAGCTCTGCTGGGTTTATGTGACAATCCACGAACACCTGTCAACCGCGACTCGTACACAAAAATCGACAGGTACTTTGTGTTTCCCGGTGCAGCTGACTACATCACCATTGACGGCCGACTGAGCTCTCTAATGATCTTGCAAGCTCTGTATAACATCACGCGTGAGAATCCTTCTGCACTAATCAGTGACTTGACGCTCACCATTCTGCAGCAGTTAGTTACGATTCATCAAAACAAGAAATCGAAGAAACGAGGCAGTTCTATTGAAGTCGATGATCGGACTGTTGCCGAGACGCACGCTGTGGGATTCCGAAGCCCTCATACCGACAACATCCTTGGTAGACTGCGCGCTAGCTTTTACGGAAGGCCTCCGAGTTTCCTCAGTTTAGCCATGGGCTGTCTGGTGAGCGTCATCAAAGCCTTGGGATGTCCTTTGGGTAAAGTTGTGTTTTTTCTTCTTTTAACTTACTTATCGAACAGGGTGAAGTTATCTTTTATTCGCAAGCCAGTCTATGAAGCGGAAAATGGCCCAATCGTATTTTTCATTTGATGAGGAGACGATAATTATGTTCGACAGGAAGACGAGGATAAGTTTTTTTTTTTCCCCGAAGAAAACGTATAAAGGTGCTTTTTATTCAAGCTTGGAAGGCAGTTTGTCCTTTCTTTCCCAGCGAATTAGCACATTTGTCAGCAATTTTGCAGCACTCGAATTTGTAAAACCTAAGATTAAAAAGTACTGACAGCGACGCAATGAGCTTTTGAGGTCACCATTTTTTTCATTTTCACAAGCATATCCCTTTTTCGTTCGATTTCTGATACTTTACCAACCTGTGCGTAAATAACATACGAACAGACTTTCCATTACGTACTCTGTATGTATAACTGATAGACATGTACAAGTCAGAACTTTGCTATCTCAACTTGGTCAATTCAAACGTTTCTCGAATTTGAACCCAAAGTCATTTGGTTCCCTTAAAGTACATTTTATAATCCTTCTGGAGGTCAATCTTTCTTGAAATAGCTGTCGTTACCTCACATCTACAAACTAACCGTGATCCGTCATTACTGTTGTAGGATGTGGAGATGGCTGCCGAGGTAACTCTGGTGATCGACTTCGGAACACAGCAAACAATCTCCTGACTCAACTCCTTCGAAGCGAAGAAGCTGCATTCAAATTGTGGCTCCACCAATTTGCGAGATTAGAACCTCCTGAAGACTTAGTAGACTTTCTTCATGCCCTTTTGGGTTTCTGCGAGGAAGACCAGGAACAATCTGATGATGAGATGATGCCTGCCCCCAAGTCAGACAAACCGACGAGAAAGAAGAGTCTTTTTTCCATGCCAGAAGGTGTCAATGGCGTCATTATTGGTAGCATTTTTAAGATCCTACTTAGTAGAGTAGCAGAGATGAATTTTCTTGAGCTAAAAAATTTGGTGAGTTATGAAACTAAGTACTGCAATATTTATAGCGAGAGAATTGATTTATCCATTCTGAAACTCTGGCCGACTGAATGAATCCCATGAGATTCCACACATCTCTCACACCAGGTGAAACTGCTATTTTAATTAAAAGGGGGTTAGCGAATCACTCTGACAAAGGGTTAACATTCGGCACTCTTAACGGTGGCCAGTTAACTTTATCAATTCAGATACAATAAATATATGAAGATCATATATTTTGAACTGCGGTGTTAGATACGTATGATGCACGATCCTCGCAGTAGATAGCGCTATTTAAGCAATAGCGAAAATCAGACCTGAAAAAAATTAGGCCTGTATGGGACTCGAACCACTGACTTCTGCGATACTAGTGCAGCGTTCTACCAATTGAGCTAACAAGCCAACTGGGCGCAGGCCGTTAAGTTGATTCGTAATAAACCCGTGAAAGTGATAAATGAGATACAATAAATATACGAAGATCATATATTTTGAACTGCGGTGTTAGATACGTATGATGCACGATCCTCGCAGTAGATAGCGCTATTTAAGCAATAGCGAAAATCAGACCTGAAAAAAATTAGGCCTGTATGGGACTCGAACCACTGACTTCTGCGATACTAGTGCAGCGTTCTACCAATTGAGCTAACAAGCCAACTGGGCGCAGGCCGTTAAGTTGATTCGTAATAAACCCGTGAAAGTGATAAATGAGATACAATAAATATACGAAGATCATATATTTTGAACTGCGGTGTTAGATACGTATGATGCACGATCCTCGCAGTAGATAGCGCTATTTAAGCAATAGCGCTATCTACTGCGAGGATCGTGCATCATACGTATCTAACACCGCAGTTCAAAATATATGATCTTCGTATATTTATTGTATCTCATTTATCACTTTCACGGGTTTATTACGAATCAACTTAACGGCCTGTTCCCAGTTGGCTTGTTAGCTCAATTGGTAGAGCGCTGCACTAGTATCGCAGAGGTCAGTGGTTCGAGTCCCGTACAGGCCTGATTTTTTTCAGGTCTGATTTTCGCTATTGC